CAATCGTCGTTCAGAGGGCGACCGCCGACTCCGACTCCGACGACAGCCATCTTCTGGTCAATCCTGATCCATTGACGATGACCAACTTCGTGTTGGTCGAAAACCTGCCGAACAGCGAGCAGCAAATATTCATCCAAATTGGTCAGCAGTCCATTCGGCAAAACGACGAACAGAACAGTGACAGAGAGCAAAACGAGACCGAGATCAAGATGGCGACCGCAACGACGACTGGTTCATGGATGCACATGTTGACGTTGTCCAATTCGACACAGCCCGGGGTGTCGTTGCTTGTGACCGGCGACCAGCGACACGTCGTAAAGAGCATTTACCGTGTCGACCGACAACTCTTAGACTGTGATCTTTTGGACAGTGACGGAGCTACGAAGGCATTGAACGACTTCCATGCCGAGATCGCTAGAGTACTGTCGTCAGGTTCGTATCAGTTTCGTCATTTGAACGAATCGGTGTTCAACCTCACCGACGAACAGTCCGACTGGCTGAACGTCACCAAGCAACGCGAGTCTTGTCATCAGTTGCAACGCATCGTCCGCAGGTCTCGCCGGTTACACAGGAAACAGCTGAGGCGAAGCCTCAATGCCAAGTCCAGTCGTGCTCCCTCGATCTCAACGAACGATCTCTGCGGCAATTGGCTGCACCAAGCGAGCAGTTCTAGTGATGTACGCAGCGAGACGAAAAAGTGCTGTTTTATACACAAATCCTGTTCGTTCACCATCCCGCCATTCACTTCCGACTACCATTTGTTCAACTATCGCAGCCACACTTTGATTCACTGCGATTGTACCAAACAGTAAGTTTTTTAGCTTTATACACGAAATTAGCCTAAGCTAGCGTTTCCTTTTCTTCTGCGTTTTTGCTTGATTACAGCAATAACAGTAATATGGCGTCCTCCCCTACACAAGGGACTGACATCATGATGTTCAGTTCAGTTCCACGGCACTTCTCTCGTTCTCTCTGTACGATTCCGATTGAGTTAACGGAGTGTATAGTTATCGATTGTGTATAGTTATCCATCCATTCAGAATCTTTTCGGTTCTTGTTTTGTTCTTGCGCCAAGAAGCAGCCCTGTAATACGATTTTCTCCAGCCGGCCACCGTTCACCGTTCTTCCTCATCATGCGTCCGGCATATTCCATTGCGGTTTTTGCTGTCGCATTTTCTTAACCATCTTTAATGAAAGCTCATTCACGATAGTCTCATGAAGCATTTTATTCGCCGTGCGTTTTGAATCTTTATTGGTCCAACTTCATATCAGATAAAAGCAGACTTGATGATGAGAATTATAGATTCGATGGGCCTCAGCTAGGCGAAGTTCGGAATGTCCCCTCCTTCGCCATATTTTTCTCAACCTCTTCATATAAGTGGCGAATCTCAGTCTTCCAGTTAGGTTTCTCATTCAGGAAGGAATAAAGGCTTTAGAACGAACAGTCTACTACAGTCCAACGTCATTTACAGTAATTTTAGTTCGATTGTGTTTCCTGGCCACTGTCATCATTTTAGTTTTAGTCAGGTTGAAACTCATACCAAATTGTCTGATCGCCATGTTGACTTTATCTAACAGTTGCACTCTGAATAAGTGCCACCTCAAGTACTACATGGTCGGAATGCAACAAGTCTGTGATTCATCCAATTTCTCCAATTTTCAACCCTCCGGTGTTGCCTTCCAACCAGGTATTGATATATGCTATATTAAGCATATTAAATAATGTCATTTGTACGGGAACCGTTGATCACATTCCGCATGAGTTGACCAATATGACTACGTGATATCCTCGATAAACCGTTGAGAAGAACAAGTCACGCGCAGTGGTTGTCATTTATTGAAGTTTGAACTGAACGGAATGACGCCACTTTCTGTTTAGAGGTTAAGGGGGCTTCGTTGTATTCACACTGAAGTTTGTTGAAGCTAAGTTAAGGAGGGCACTGTCTTTCTTCTGTACCTCATTTAAAGGCAGAGATGTGGCAAATATTGTGTTTAGTATCATGTTTCCTTCCTACAGAATTCTGCTTATTTATTAACATCTTATCAACTACGAAAAAACTCATCATGGCCAGATTAGTGCTTGAATCCAGGACCTCCAGGTTTTGAGTTCTGATGTCACACCGACTGAGCAGCCTCGATTTCACATTGTGGGCACATCGAGTATTCATGATGACAAGAAAGTCATAGATGTTTTCCTTCCGTTCTAGAAAGACGATGGCATTATCATAAGTTTCACAAATTATTATTACGCCAGAATTTTGAAGTACTGAAATTTTAAATGTGGCTAAGAACACTTATTTCCTTTCATCTTCTGATCTGACCGATCACGCATCGTTTGAATCTTTTCCGCTTGGCTGCCAATTGTCAGTCCGTTTCAGTGACTCACTGCAAAGGTTTTATAATGTTTTATAATGTTCCATTTTTGGACATTAGTCTAGACAGTGATCCCTCATCATTCACAATCCCCAAGTCTAGATTTATAGTCAGCCACATAAAGCAATGCGAACAGCTGCCGTAATTGCCAGTGCTTCGTTAACCGACCACCTATTCGTTCACGGCTGGTCTTCGTGACACAGGAAGGCAGTCTTTTCAATATTTACCTTGGCAGACAATCGATATGTTCATTGCTCAATCTCCGTGACGTCTATACCGGGGGTAGGTTTTTCGACAAAATGGTCTAACATGAATTATTAATCTTTGTTCTACAAGGCCATCATGGGATTACATCCGGCATATAGTTTATTATATGTAAATTCTCAAACGCTTTGGGTCATGCTCGATCAGCCTTCAGGCAGGAAAATGTTATGAAGCAGTATGTTGCAGCAAAAATCCGTATAGTCAGGTCTAAACTTCATTTTGGAGATTTTAGCCTCGACAGTAAGTAGTGATTTTTCTTATCGTAAATTATTGCTTTACGATAATAACCCCTAGCGACCTCAATAATAACGGCATGAAGTTGTTGCGGTTTTGTGCAAACAACGGATTGTCTATTAT